GATAAGGGAAAGCAGTGGGCTATATTTCACATTATTAAAGAATCCTTTTGCTCGCACTATATGTATCCATCCGCTTTTAGGTTGTTCGGTTCTCCCCATTTTAAAATATGTGTCAATTTGTTTCCACCTGAGACAAAAAAACAGTCGAAACAATGGACTGAAAGGGTAGAATCTCAATACTTTTGCGTTAACAAAAAGTTATCCCAAATTAAAAACAATCATCAGAGCTATCACTTTTAACTTTTGAAGCAAATTCTTTTTAAATCGAAGTAGGTGAATATTCGAAAGTTGTATCGCCCAACTCAACCCACTCGCATAAAGTTAAATGGAAGCATTGCTGCTATGAACTTTTTCTGAAGTTGAAAAACGAATTTTTATTTTTTAACACACATTCTTTATTTGGCTTGAAAGTTATTTTACAACTATTTTTAATATGCAGCATATTCGTTTCTTGTTTGTGTGGCAAACAATTTTACATCTCAGCTGCCATGGCCTTTTATATTTGTGGTTTTCACCAATAATTTACATACATACATGTACATACATATATACTCGTAGTTGATTTATAGTTGCTGCATTAATTTAAAAATGTTGCCCTCTAATTGGATTTCCGGCTTATGCCATAAGTTCTGTAACACATTTAACACACAAAAACACACTTTACTTGTATTTATTTAGGCTAATTTCCAGCACACTTTTTACATCAAATTATTCTTTTTAAATTTCGCTAATAATTGATTTTATATTTATAGGAATTTTTGATGGGTCTCCTAAATTAACCGGGACGCCTGAGAGGCACATGCTAAGTGACAGTAATAGCTAGTAGTTTGTGTTTTTTTTTTTTTTTTCATAATTTGTTGCTTATTTTCATTTAAATTTAATTTCATTTATTTATACATACAAAGAAGCCAACAATACATACACATATTGTTTTTAGATTATTATAAAAGTTATAGGTTGTCTTATTTCATTCTTAAATTAAAATTTGCTTATTTTTATCAACATTTACGACAATAGCTTAAATATTTCACGAATTGTGTTCAAAGATTAACCTAACCACCAGTTTTCTTAAGTCTCTAGGCTTTTCGTCTGCCTCAGTTGACAAAACGTATATTTATATCGTACTTAAAATATGTAAATACCTATTACAAATGTCTTCGCTCCAATTTATACTGTTATATGTTTACGTTAATTTGATTTAAGTGTAAGATTAAGCAGCTCTTTAAATACCCTTTCTTACGCTCCCACACATTTGTGAATGCAATTTAAAACTGCTCTCAAACATCCATTTGATAAAATACCAACAGCACACGAAATAAAACACAGAAACTGTTTATGAGTATTCACATTTATATATTTACAAGCAGTATATACATATACTTTATTTATGTATGTATGTAATATATGTAAGTAACAAATGTTTAATTTGTCAACAATTTTTGTGTATTCTGGCTTACCATTGCTAATATTACGTATACGCACTGTTGCGTGTAGAAAGAAACTTTTTACAAATGGGGGGGTAGGCAACAATCAAAAGTAAACGAAAGTCTGTGACACATTTTTGAAAGCTTAATATACGACACTGCAAGCGCACGTGTTTGCGTATGTAAATCAGTGTGTGTATGTGAGTAAGTGTGTGTGTGTGTGTGTGTATGTGTGGCATCGTTGCAACGTCGTCTGACATAAGCTTTCAAAAGCGGGGCTCATGGTCAACACAATTTTGCATACTTTTGGTCTTCAGTTTTGTTGCTTCGCCTGGATTTTCTATCTTCTTTTTTTCATTCTTTTCTATTTGCTTCCTTGCCACACGTCAACAACAGGGTTGTCGTTGTTGACAGGAGCGACAAACTCAAAATTGTGGCTGCATTAAATGCGCTCGTCATTTACTTATTTATACTTTAAGTTCTCTCCTATGTGATAGCACTTAATTTACAGGCAAAAACACTTACCAAGCGCTTTAAGCTACTCAGTTTGTTTCGGGTTTGCCAATATGTTAATGCTTAAATACTTGTAGGTGCTGGTAATATACATATGTGTACACGAGTTGCCTAAGGCTAAGTTGTCAGTATCCTATGACTAACATGTACATACATAATTATGTATGTGGCTCAAATTACACTTGAAGTTGCAGCAACTTCTTTATTTCAATCACACGACATGCATACAAACCAACACATTTACATTTTTGTGACCGAGCACACACACACACAGACACAAGCATCCAACAGCAGCCAGCAATTACAGAATGGGTGCAGTCGCTGACCAACAAAGTAGTTCCTAATACCTGTCTCGTTATTCAATAAATTAGTTCAACTAATCGGTAACAGCGGACAGTAACAGTAATTATAAAAATAAGTCAGCTGAAAAAAACCATTAAAACAAAATCTTGGCACATTTTGTTAAAAGAGCTTCCAACCCGGTAACAGCGGACAGTAACAGTAATTATAAAAATAAGTCAGCTGAAAAAAACCATTAAAACAAAATCTTGGCACATTTTGTTAAAAGAGCTTCCAACCCATCGATTCCACCAGTTCTTTCCCTAAAAATGATCCACAAATCTACTCAAGTAAGTTTCTAACATATCTTTTTGATATTGTGATCTCATCGACAAGTTAAATCAGATGGCGCATGAATTTTTTGAAAAAGAATTTGAGGACTCCTGCATTGTGTGTCGCTTTAAAAGCGAAAAATTTTAAGAACTTAATTCAATAATATCACAAAATAGTTAAGAAATATAATCACTCTGTTGGTTTTAAAGCAACCAATTATATTGGGACTAATTTCCAAAGAAGAAAAATAAAAAAAAAAATTTTTAGAATTACTTGACTTCTATGAGGCATCTTTAACGGCAAACCGAAAGTTTTGTTTCAAAATTCTAATGAGCCAAGTTGGGTTTCTGCTATTTCTTTAATTGAATCTTAATTTATGTCCTGCTCAGATTTAAGGAACTCTTAGCTATTAGTCAAATATGTGCTGTTTAAGAAGCAATAAAGCGTTTTTTATTTTTTATTCATTATCAAGTAATGCCCAGCCAACGTCTCACCAAGTCAGCCCAATCAGTTGGGTCATCAGCAACCACAGATGCTGTGGCCAATAAAATCCCAAGCTAAATTTCAATTAGCTGCCTTAAACAACTTTCAACTGTCAGTCAATTCTGCATTTGGGCTTTTTCTTCTCCACTGTTCCCTCTCCCTTTCTAATTTCCACATATTTTCCACTTCGATGTGGCACGTAAATCTCGCCATCGGCGCATTAATGTCAGCTTAGGATTGTTTTTTCTCCGTGTTGTTGTTGTTGTTGTTATTTGTCTCCGCCCATTTTTGTTGGCATTTTCAAACGGCGTCAATTTATTTTTTCCTATATGTGCTTTTTTACTCTTTCGCTTGTTTTCCACCCATTTTTGCGGTTTGGTTTGTCAATGACAGCAAAAAAAGGCAGACTGTGACAAACATATATACATACTACGTACATATTTCCGCACAATTGACAGACGGAATTTCAGACTTTTGCGATACGGGTCGGAATTGGCAATGAAAGGAGGACAAATCATTCGGCATAACAGTGCGAAATATTTGTGTACGAGCTGGTATGTGTGTTTGTGTCATTTGGCCATAAATTGATGCGAATTGTCGCCTTTGGCAGTCGTTAGATGTTATTGCTCCTCTTGCAGCTCTTGTGGGCGCAACACTCGGAGCACAAATTCTGTAAAGTATAATGGGTTCAACTCTATTAAAGTTCATGCATTTTGTGCTTTTGTATATAAAACTACATATTTCAGCACATAAGTAGATGATCGAAGTCGATTGTTGATTCTTATAGATATTATTTTAAACGCATTCTTCAGCACTGCTGTATATCCGAAGTACCAGAAACTGCAATCAGACGCTACATAGGTATGCCACTTTTCAATATCATCTTACATTTCAATTTCATTTCCTCAAGTACTTGGAATAAATTATAAATAGCAATTGAGAATTGCACTTTTGCAGACAAGTAGAAACGCTTTTCAAATTAAAATGCTATTAAGGATAAATAAATTAAAACAATGAAAAGTCGAATTAAAAATGTTCCCTAGTCATAATTTAGATTGCCTGCCAGCGATAAGAATCAGTCTGTTCCTTTGAGGTTTCAATAAAATCATGCTTGGATTGAAATGGTTATTCAAAGAATGTCAATCTTTGCTTTCAAAATTGAATTGGTATTTTTTCGAACTCTGCATTTTTTAAACTGAAAAACTTTCCCGAATTCGGTAGAAAGTTCAAATTATTCCATGAATGTTAAGCAGCTTGTTAAAGCAATGTTTTGAAAAGTGTTCAGCTACTCCAAGTTTAAGTCTAAATCGGATTTGTCCTTTGTAAGTTGGCTTTTCTATTAAATCTAATGGAACATTTCTTTGGTTCTTGTTTTAGCAATTTCATGAAATAATGTTGATCGAACTACACTGTTGTCCCTGTTACCATTGTTGGCCCAGTTGTTAGCTTTAGTTGTCGCATCGGACGCGCATACAAATTGTAAATGACAAAATGTCTTAGAAATTGCCGCTCGTTGAATGTCAACTGATGCTTCCCCGTTTCTCGCGCCTCCCGCATTGGTCACGCCGCGAATAAAGCGCGCAATGTGGCGCACTTGCTGCCTGGCTCTCCCAGAGCTCGCCCGGAGGCGTTGTGAATGCGGCTCAGTCACACCCTCACCCACACACACACATACACATACATACTTACATATACGTACGGACACACGCACAATTTGTTGTAAATATTTGATATCAACGATTTGACAAGCAGTTTTAGCCGATTGCTTAGGGCCTGCTTGTAGCAAAGGCGCGTCTTGTCTGTGCCAGCACCCACCACCCACTACTATAACGTTCGCGGCGCTTTTCACTTTTCACATCGTTGTCACTTGATTTGGCACTTATCAGCATATTTACAATAGACTCCATTTTGTTTATGTACTCCCTAAACCAAGGTGCTGTTTATATCGCATTTCCCAGCTCTACCGGTGGCGTTTCCTTTAAACTCTCCAGGACGACAAGCGACGACGAGGGCGACGACGCTGCCTAGAAATGCGTTTCGAAAATCTGTAAATAAAATAAAAGAGACGGGGGGCAGGCATGAATAGGTGTGAGCATAAATATACATGTGTACATAAATTTCAGTTGGTTTTTCTCTTTCCATGTTTCTGTACCATTTTATTGTATTTCTACGCCTAGATACTTTCACTTTGCATACTTCTAGGCACAAACGTGTACGTGTGTGTACATGTGTGTGAGTGGCTGTTGCCAAAGCAGCTTATGCCAATTTGGCTGCCATCTTACGTATTTTGCGAGAATGCGTGTGTGTGAGTGTGTGTATGCGTTTGCCTTCTGTCTGCAGTTTACTTTTGTTCTTTGCAATCGTAAATCGCATTTACTTGAGCTTATTGAGCCAATTCTTTTTGCATAGCAAACAAGATGATGGCAACAAATAAAATATGCATGCATTACATATTCGATATACTGTATGTACTTTTAGCATTTGCTATGCACCGAGATCAACTGTCGGTTATATACATATATAAGCTTTCATAAATTGTTGTTGGCCAACAGTTGTCCCGTAAAGGTCTTGCCTGGCACACTCATGGCGCCTGACACGCCTCTGCCAAGGCAAACAAACTGCTGTCGCTGCTTTGCCATTATTGTACTGACCTTGTCGGCCACAGAAGGCCGCCCTTGCTGCGCACAAAACCAACCGCCGTTGGTTGTAATTAGCATTAGCCACTTGTTGCTGCGCCTCGTCTCGCTGAGTGCCTCAAGTGCTGACGAGGGGGCGGGCTGTGCTGGGGGCTGGGTCGTTGCAAGCGCAGTTTTAATCAAATGCATTGCGTATACGCTACGTGGCAATGTCAATATGTGCTTACTCATTAAAGCAACCATTAAAACTAACTTTTTAATGCCCTCATTTAAATGAATAATTTAATTCCCTCTCTTTTCATAGCTGACTAAGCGCAATAAATAGCCACAGGAAAGCAAACAAAAACTAATTATATTCATTTTAAATACATATAGTACACATATATACATTATTTAAATGTTTGAAGGGCTCCTCTCAATTTTAATTGGCGCTAAAAATGCTGATATACTGATTATTTTTAAAGTGAGAATTCCAATAGTTGGCATTATTCATTTTACACTACACTCAGCAATACAACAGATTTTTATTCTAATTCATTTTGTTTGTACTTTAAAAGGCTTCATAAGAATTATAAATTGATGAAAAATTTTGGCAATTTAGTACTAATGGATATATAGTTAATTTATTTATGTTTTGAACGCTTCGAATCAGGGTTTAAATTGAAATATATATTGATATTATTTAAGTGAAAATGTTATCCAACAACGTATAAGAAAAGAGCTAAAAAGGCATTTATTCGCACGACAAAATAATTCCTCCTTGACAGTACTGTTTCCGTACTATCTTATATTTATTTGCCTATCGTATTGTTGAAAATAAGTAAGTTTATTTTGGTGTTCTTAAAACAAGACTGATTTACACTTCATTTTGATCAGATGCATCGCTTTTCGTTCTTAAAGTAAACTTATATTGGCCCCAAGTCTGTTTACAAATTCCCTCATTACAAACAACTTCAACACAAATGACAACAACAATCATTATCTTTTTAACCGAACAAGTTTTTTTTTTATTGGAACAATATAAACACAAACAATAATCAATATAGTATTATTATGAATTTTCTACAAAAAGAATCAAAAAAGCTGCGTCAAAAAAATATTTTTAAACTTCTAATCTAGCATTTGCCTCTAATCTACTAAATCCGCTCAAACCAAACTATAGACAACTTAAAACCAATCATACACTTCACTAAAAAATGCAATTTATTAAATAAGTAACTAAATACAAAATCGTTAAAAGAAAATGCCTAAAATGTACATAATACTCTTTCAAACATATCAAGCTTAAAGCCCCGTCGCTAGGCGAAATAAATAAAAATAAACTCGTTAACAAAATCAAAGGTAATAAATTAATTGTTATTATTCATCAAATTTCCAAAGGCACATATAAACGGAAACGATAAGAGTTGATTATTTGTATATTGACGTGTTTTGTCTATTTCATCACCTAATTTTTTTCCCCCTTTTTCGATTTCCGCTTTTGTCGTTTTATTAATCCGCCGTCTATTATAACAGGCTTGTGCAAAAATTTTGTCAATTTACGCTCAATTGATTTTTGTACGTTTCGCATTTTTAATAACGCATGCTTTGATTTTCCTGTTGTCATTATTAGCTCATTATTGTTTTGGATTGTGCTCTGTGCGGCATATTGTGCATTTTTCTGCTCGATTTTCGCTTTAGCCTAATATTAATTAAAATTCATAGAATTTTCTGTTGTAATTTTGAGGCCCAAAATAGCATAGAAATTTCACATTTACTTAATGTAGATATATTTATATAATGGTGTTTTCTCTTCGTCGTGACGTCATGAAACATGATGCCATTGCAATTCCAACTTGATTAAAATTTGTACAGCATGCTATTTTAATAATGAAGGAGCAGAGCGAAATGTTTCTACATATTTGTTATCCTTTAATGGAATTGCAATGTCGATGGGATAAAAATTACATAAGTAGCATTTTTCCATCAAAACATTTTATTACAGTTGTTGATGCAACAGAAGAGAATTATATGTGTATTAAGCTTCAGTTTTTTGCTGCTTTGTTCTGCATTTAATTGCTTCTGGTTAAAAGCTGAACAGATTAAGGATATTAAAACACTAATTAAGTTTAACTGAATTAAATGAAAACACTCATTTGCATTAATTAACATATTAATAGTATTAAATGCACTTTTTTTTAATCTTCTTCCAGGATATTAACCAGATCACCAGGTAAGCACAAATATTTGGCATTACTACTTTTGGCCACTAGCTCTATTGGGATTTTTCCTGGGTAGGTACAATGTAGAATTATTTGTGTATTTTTAAAGACTTTAATACTGATTGGTTCGCATGCGTCATCAATAAAAAGAATCATTTTTTATAGGCATAATATCTCGTAAAGTTTTGATATTCTCACAAACTAAGAGTCAACCTCCACCGCTAACAAAAAAAACTTGTTTATCTAGGTTTATACTCTTAAGTTTTTACGACTTTGAGAAAGAAACTGTGTCGGCTCATTCGCGTAAATTCGCAACAGCTAAAAAAATTGACAGCGTTTTTGTTTTGTATGTTTTAGATTGGATGAAGTTTTCCATTTGTTTAATAGGAAACGGCCTTTTTGCAATCGTACTGTTCTATTTTCCTCACGTACTTTCTTCAAAGTCTGCTTAAATTGACTACCGACGTGTATACATAATTTAGGAGATTGTTTGTTCCTTCTCTTCGTCGTTAGACAAAAAATTGTGCAGATTCCTTTCGCAGGTTTTGCATATCAATCAATTCTCTCTCATACACACACACACTTTAACAATGAATATAAGAAACGACTGATATGCGAGTCGCTATCCAAGTCCCCAGCGACGCAATTTATACATTATTAAATCGTTGAAAGTCAATAGAAATGAAATCTGTTTTTCGTTGTCTTTTAAACACACAGACACCGTACGTCTGTTCTGTTCTGCGAATGGAAAAATGAAAGCAACAGCACTTTTAAAAACAAAATAAAATGAGTGCTCTGGCCACTTATTAATGGAGCTGACTCGGTGCTCGCCGCAAGCAAATTAATTTTATAAACTCTCGAACAAATGTACAGCAAAAACCTACAGACCGGGCAGCACTCTGATGGGGTGGATGTGGGAGGACGATTCCCCACAGTAATGTGTGGCTGCCATCAGCACGTGTGTGTGTGTGTGGGTATGAGTGAGCGTTTTTTATTTGCGCGTGCGTATGTATGTGCGTGCACGAAACTTGGATATCAACAGAAATGATTACAAAAAAGAAATTGAAAATTTAATTTTGTCTAAAATGCGCGCTGGGGAACCTACGACACGCCAAAGTACCCTCTGAACTTTTATTTAACAGACAATGTGGACTAGAGATGCACGAAGTGCGTGATTAATCCTTGAGTATTGAGAGAAAGTCTTGAAACTTTATCAAAAACGCAAAAAGCATATAGATAATATATAATTTGAAATATATTAAGAGAGGTGTTTTTGCTCTAAAGCAAACAAGTAATTTTATTCTGTTCTTTCAATCACCAAAGCTAATCCTGATCTAATCAAACAAATATTAGTATGAAATTATAAGAGAGGTGATGGCATGTTTAACAAATGTTAAAGGACATTTCTTATCGTCATTGTTTAGTGTTCAACGGGAAAGCTATTACATTTAAGGATGGACTGGTGTCCTCAAAGTCCAAACGTAGCTGTTTTTGAAAATATCTGTTCTCTTACATATCGTAAAATTGTCAAAATATTAAAACTAGTTTGCTTTTTTACTTCGAGAGCTCTTATAAAAAATGTGCGTTTTTTAATAAAGATAAAAAATTTCTTATTATATTATTATGTTTTCTATTAAGACACATATTTTACATATGCTTTAAAACTTTTCTATATCTTTGCGAATTTTTTACAAGTTTCTAGTTGCTACTCCTGTTTTTTAAATAGAAAGTTGTAGTTCTTGCAAGAAAATGTCAATACTCGATATCTACTTATATTATAAAATAATAAAGAAATTCTTTTATTATTCCATTCATATTTATGTTCAATTTATATATATTCTATATGGGTGTTTTCATTGTACTTTTATACTTTAAAACCAATTGCAATTCGGTTGGCCATCCCTAGCGCGAACAAACAAACATGACGAGTGGCTCCTAAAACTGCAAGTTAAAGGAAACAAAACAATTATTAAAGGCGCCAGAGGCCACTTGTTGTTAATGCTGTTGTTGATGGTGCTGGTGGTGGTGAACAATATTATATAACTTTAAGTTAATATTTTAAAATAATGCCACATAATTTGTGCGCATAAATAAGTCTGGGACATGACCGTCAAGCAGCCCCTCGATATGCAAACAAATTTATGACGAAACATATTTCAAGAGCTTGAGAACAACAACAATATTAAGTCGAGTGGCTTAGAGGGGTCA